GTGTCCGACTCAGTCACCTCGCCGCCGCCAACGATACGCGGGAAGCCGACGTGCTCGACTTTGCCGGTAATACGTCGAACACGGAGCTCAAGAAGACGAAGACAGTCAAGTCATCATCGTCTTCCTCCAGTCGCCTCGACCAGCTTCGACGCGAGCGCGCCGAGCGCAAGGCCGTCGGGCAGCGCCGACTCGAGACGCTCCTCCGGCGCTAACGTAGAGCTACTCAATGTAGACATATGAGTGAAAATACTGGGTGATATTGCAATGAATTGATTTGAATCAAATTGCATTTTCGAAACCACGCTATGTGCGCGTAGCCACAACACTGGCATCATTTCAGTGGCCAAAAACACATCTGCCTAGAATTATGAAGGCTCAAAGCGCCACATATTGACTCGCGTTGAATATCTCGATGGATTATGTTGGATAGAACAGCAATTGTTGGCGAGTTTCAAAACAGATACTTGCAGGCCTTTGATTGCCACGCGCGTTGGCATTACAGCCTCTCTAGAGCTAGATAAAGCGCCCCTGAGACTATCACAGCGATTTGAGAAGGTTGCAAAAGTTTCGATTTCGGATCGACAAACCTCACCGTTGGGGTACCTGCCACTGGCACTGTATCCGGCATTGTCCGGATAAAAAGCCATGAAGCGCAAGCGCCATGCAAGCGAGACCGGCGCCGAGACCGTCGTCCGTGCACTCCTCACGCAGGCGGTCGAGGCGCTCGCCAGCAGCGTACGTCTCTGCGCGTACAACTCGCTGCTCACAGTGCGTAGACGCCTGGCTTGGACGCAGCGGCCTTTCTGCCGCTCCGCGTCCACAGCGCGAAGGGCCGCGACCTGCTTCCGACCGACGCCAGCACCGTGGGCACGACCCAGTATTCGAGCGACGTTGCCGTGCGCCTCTTCTATGCCAAGGCGCTAGCGCTGACGCTGCCCGACGTCGCCGATCTCGTGCGCTCGACTGCGATGTCGCTTTTGGAAGGAATGGCATCCAGTGACGTCGTGGCGCTTCGCGTGGACCCCGCGACGTCGCGCGTCGTGTGCTTTACGCGGCAAGCGCAGCCGTCCGTGCTAGATGTCGAGCTGGACCCGAGCATTCGCGTGCTGCACGCGGACGCGGCGATCCTCGTCGTCGACAAACCGCCGAACGTCTGCTCCGTCGACGGCGTCGACCACGCAACGTCGATCCACTCGCTCCTCAAACGCAAGTACCCGCAGGTAGCATTTTTCTCCTGGAGTATTGCTAGACTCGTGTAGGTGCGTATGGTGCACCGACTCGACTACGAGACGTCGGGGCTGCTCGTCGTCGCGCTCACGCGCGAGGCCGCGACGCACCTCAACCGCCAGTTCCGCGAGAAAACCGTGCAGAAGCAGTACCATGCGCTGGTTCACGGCGCCTTGGACCCGGCATCCGGCGACATCCACGCGCGTCTGGGGCCAGACCCGACCCACCGCATCAAGCAAATGGTTGCGGACGACGGCAAGGCCGCCGAAACGCACTACAAGCAACTCTCGTCGTCGGGCGACACGTCGCTCGTGCAGCTCAACCCTGTCACGGGCCGGACGCACCAGCTGCGCGTGCACCTCTGGAGCCGCGGGTGCCCGATCGTCGGCGACTCGCTCTACCACCTGGATGCGAACGGCAGCGACAGGCCCATTGGCCGCCTCCGCCTGCACGCGTCGACGATCACACTGGAGCACCCTGTGTCGGGCGAGCGCGTCACGTACACGAGTCCTTGCCTTTTTAAGTAGCTAATGAATGTATCTCGAAGGCGTCGACGCCTGTCTATGCACGAGGTGTCGCAGCCGTAAATACTAAAACCAAGTATAATACGTGGCGTCTTTGCAGCGTCGCCGTTGGTCACAGCGTGCGCCTATGACGCAACGTCAAAACACGAAATGACCCGATCGGCGCTCGCTGCCCTCGCCTCGGCGGACGTTCTTCAGCACATCGCTGCCTACGTGCGCTGCCCGTACGCCCTCGGCGCCTTCTTACAGCTCGTCCCGTCCGCCGACCTCTCCATCTCTTTTCGGCATCTCGCGCGCTTAGCACAGACGATTGCGCTGCCCCACCTCTGGCCGCGACTTCGAGCCTCGGCGCTAACGTCATCGACCGAAGTATCGCTGGCGGCGACGCTCCTGCAGCACGGGAGCACGACTCTGTGCCTCGACGAATGGCCCAAGGCTGGTGATAGACTCGCAGCGTCCGCGCCCGCTCTCGCCTGCACCTTCCTCGCGTCCATGGCCGACGCTGCGGCGTGGACGGGCGCGCGCCTCGTCGAGTGTGCGCTCATCCTCGCGTCCAGTGACAGCGTCGACGACGTGGCGTCCGTCGCAGCGTGGGTTGTGACGGCGCCACGCTTACGCTGCGTGCAGCTCTCCTATTACAGCGGTCTCGGCCCCATCGAAGAGCGTCTCTCGCAGTCGATCTTTTCGCCCCGCATCGTCGACATCTCGCTGCACAACGTCGGGCCCGACGTGCTCCCGTCGCACTGGATCGCGCGCCTCGTCGACTGGCTCGGAGGCAACCGTGCGACGCGCGTGAGTCTGGCCGAGGTCGTCACTAACGACGGGCCCGATGTGCTCGTCCTCGCCCGTGCTTTGCACACCTGCACCTCGTTGCGGTCGCTCGAGCTCACGCATCTCCCAGAGCTTGCGACTGCGTATCTTGCGGCACCCGTGCCCAGCTCCCTCGTCGAGTTGGCGCTGACGGGCCACGCTCTCCCGAACGGGTGCGCTGCCGCCCTCGTAAGCGCCAACTTGACGCGCCTCAAGCTCCACATCCACGACGCAGCGGACGATATCTTGGCTGCAGTCCTCGCCTCGTGCCCGAGCATGCTGTCGCTGACCTCCATCGACGTTGCCTACGAAGCGTTACATGAGCGTGCACGCGGAGCTCTTGTGCGTACGCTGCCACTCGTCCGAGCGCTGGATGAGCTCAAGCTCGAGTCGCTACATGGCCACGACGTGGCTCTCGCTGCAGCACTTGTGCCCGTGCTGCCGCGCTGCCAGTGCTTGCACCGCGTCGCACTCCGAGGTCTCTGGTGGCCACACTCGACGCCGCCTACCCTTGCAGTGGGCTCCTGCCTACGCTACCTGTGCCTGAAAGGATGCCTGCTTCAGGGCAGCACAGGTAGCATCGGCGCAGTCCGCGTGTGCTGCACGACGACGAACGGGCCGTGCTGGATCGACGGCAACTTCGACGCCTACCACATGGGGACTCTAGATCATTGCACGTCCGAGCGCGCGTCCTTTCTCTAGAGCTCCACGTAAAAACCACGCGCGAATCCTATTTACCACGTTTTTCGCATTTACAAACACCTATATATTGTGTGAGAAGCGTGTGAAATAGATGTGAAATCACGAGTCCTCGATTTCCCAGATGGCACAACGGGTGCTGGCCGAGTCGCCGGAGCTGCTCGCCGCCGTCGCACGCTTCGTGGCCAGCGCCGATGATCTGTCGGCGCTCCTGCGGCTCACAGCTCGCGCGCACCTACCCGCGCCACTGCAAAGCCTCGTCTTGCTCGCTCAGACAGTGCCCATGGCCAGCCTGTGGCCGTCGGTGCGGTGTGCGGCGCTTGTGACACCCGCCGAAGTCGCGCTGGCGACCACAGTCGTCGGGTTCTTTGGCCACTTGCGGCTCGACGTGCAGCCGAGCGATGCTCAGAGGTGTCTTGTAGACGTATCGGAGGCCGTTGCCGTGGACTACGAGGTCGCGGCTTCGGAAGAGGCGCTCTGGCAAGGCGATCGGATCTCGACACTGACACTGCGGCTGGCCACTGGCAGCACACCTGCTCATGTCAACACGGTGGCGCGCTGGATTGCGACGGCACCTCGGCTTGTATGCGTTTGTTTGAGCTTTGAGCACTGGACCGACATGGCGTCGCTGCTCGTCCTCGCCGAGAGCATCAACGCCAACCCTCGGATCCGCACGATTGCGCTTCGAGGGTGCTCGCTCACGGCGGTGCCCGACGCAATGGTCATGTCGCTTGCGCGCTGGGTGCACCGCGGGTACATGACGGGCTTTAGCCTCGGCAACATCCAGCCGCGCGTACCGTTCTTGGCGTCCTCCATCGGCGGCGCCTTGCGTTCCCTCAAGCAGCTACGCACGCTCAACCTCGAGAACGAGAGTGCAATCGCCGCCGCGTATTTCGGCCACCCAACGCCACTACCGCTGCGGCGACTCTCGCTGCGAAGCAAGGCTGGGTTCCAATCATGGGGCATCACGACGAGCCTCCTCAACGGCCACGTGGCGCTTCCGGACCTCCACACCCTCGAGGTCGGGTACGCATGCCTCGAGCCCGCGATGCTTTCAGCGCTGGCAACCGCAGTCCTGCGTCTCCCAGTCCTGGGTGAGCTCGTCCTCACGTGCACGGGGGCCAGAGACCCGAACTTGGCGGAGGCACTTGTCCGCGTCCTTCCGCGCTGCAAGCGCCTGCGCCGACTCGCACTGCGCAATGTTTTATTTGACGACGCGCGCTGGTGGCACGTGGCCGTCGCGTGTCCGTCTCTGCGCTACCTCTGTCTGCGGCACGCGCAATTGGCCAATGACGTCGCGGCGTCCTGGCGCCTCTGCTGTCCGCGCGTCCGCATCTGCTGTGCCACTGCTGCTTGCGATGTCCGGCGCTGCGAGATTCCCGATGTGCTGCCAACCACTGGAGCGATGGATCCCATTGGCGTTGCCTTGTAAAGACGATCATAAAATGAGTTTTACAATTCTACCGTGCCCCCCGTGCGTAGCTCACCGACCTTTGGCTATATGCATAGACCTCGCAGTAGCAACGCCTTCAGAACGGACGAATCAGCTCCTAACTGGAGCGGCATGGCTGTTGGCTCCACGCACTCTTGAGCCAAAAACACGGCACTCTAAGTTCCTATCCCAAACCGGCCACAAGTTGTGTGAGTGTGGAGGCTGCCACGTAAAACTCTCTCATACTATATAGAGTATCGAATTCGGGAGGTCTCTATACCGATTGGCCAGTGCCGGTTCAGTGGTTGGATCATCAGCATGCTGGCGCGGCTACAGATCGCGCGCCGGCCGTGGCTAGTGCGCGGCGCCGCTACGTCGGGCGCCACCAAGCTGCGCCCGGAGCGCTTCGTTGACGTCGCGCGGCTCTTCCAGAGCGAGCAGCAGACACACCGCGAATTCACCAAGATGCCATCGCGCTTCGCCGTGCCAGCTTGCGCGCCGTGGCCGAGCGACGTGCAAGGCACGACGATCAACGTGTCGTTGTACCGCTCGTCTCACAAGCGCGGCCTTCTCAAGCCTGACGTTGTCGCTGCGCTCGACGCCATCGGCTTTGTCTGGGACCTCCGCGAGTTCAATTGGCAGTGGCGCATGCGGGCGTTCAAGACGTACCGCGAGCTGCACGGCCACACCAACGTGCCGCAAGCCTTTAGCGTACCCAGCGACGACTCGCGCTGGCCTGTGCACACGTGGGGACTTGCGCTCGGCGATATCGTGCACAACCTGCGAACAGGCGCCATGGCGATCCGGAAAGACCAGCGCGCGCAGCTGGAGGCGATCGGGTTCGTCTGGGCAGCCAACAAGTACAGCTGGAGCGATACCCTCGACGCGCTCAAAACGTTTCGCGGTCTGCACGGCCACGTGAACGTGCCGCAGATCTTCCAGGTGCCGTCCGAGAACCCCGCGTGGCCGCCACACACGTGGGGTCTCAAGCTCGGGGCCGCCGTCCGCAACTTCCGCATGCGCAAGAACGTGATCGCAAAAGACAAGTGCAGCGACCTCAACGCGATCGGGTTTCTGTGGTCGACACGGCAAAAGTTGGACGAGACACAAATTAAGCACTAAATTCTGGTATGACCATCGTCGCTACACTTCATAAAATTCGCTTGACATTCCTCGTGACGTGCATAACGGCTGCTATCTATATAACAGCCGCGATGGAGTTCCAAGACTTCCCGTCCGATGACGACGTGACGTTCAGTGACGACGAAGACTCGGCACAGGTGCTCGACCTCTTGACACTGATGGCAAACAAGCCGCTTGTCGAGATGGACAGTGCGCCGTCGCCCAAAACAACCGCACCGATCGTCGACGCGACGTTGTTACCTGGGGACGATGCCATCTTTATCACGGTTGAAGCGACCCCTGCGACGGCGCACGAGGCACCTGCAGCTTCCTACAACGGCCAAGAACCCGTCGATGTGGCAACGGATGCCGCGCCCATTTCTCTGCCTTGTACCGAGGGGTGGGATGACAAACAAGCACCACAGCTCGACTCGATTTGCAGTCTCAATGTATTGCTGCTAAGTGGAGGTCTCCAACACACTCAACGGGTATACTAGGTGTACGTGAACGACGACGAGGCTGAAGCACCGACCCCCGTGGTAGCAGTAAAGTGTCGCTGCAAGGCTCATCACTGTTGTTCTAGGCGGACGTTGCGACACGAAAGCACGTCCTTGACATCTACCACCGCCTGCAGCAGGTCCCTGCCTCTGAGTGAAGCCGCCATAAGCTTACAGCGAGCGTAGACGGCCGAGGGCGCGACACCAGCGTCACTGCTAGGAGTGCTTCGGCAAACGCGGGTGTTTCCATACCTCGTGTGCCAAGCAGACTGGGACGGCGCTGCGCTGGAGACGTCCGAGTTGTCACCGAGTCGGCTCTATGACGTCTTGCAGCACTGGTGCGCCGTGAACCATCCCTTTTGTGCTCTCTGCCCCGACCAAGCGCACCGGTACTTGACCCTCGTAGAACCTCCAGAGCTTGATCGTTCGTAGGTGGCGCATCTTGACGTCGCTTCTCATGGGCGGTGCAGATGACGAGGCAACCGCTGCGCTGGCTGCGTGCAAGGTCGGTTGCGCCCACGGAAGTTTGGAGGTTTACCTCTCTTGCAGGCCAAGGCACACGAGTCGTCTTGGTTGCATGCGATGGTGAGCCAGCAACCCCGGCGGCAGCTCTCACCCGAGACACCACCGCGGCCCAGTGCGCGGTACATAGCCCCGAGAAAAACGTCGCGCTAAACTCTGCAATAGATCGTCCAAGCGTCTCGAGGCGTTCGTGACGCGCATGCAAGGCGACATCGCGTCGCGTCGCCAAAAAACCCAAAAAACGCTCGTCGAGAAACAAGCCCAAGCCGCCGCGGTGGCCACCGAGGCGCTTCCACCGCCGCCATCGCTGGCCAAAGGGACGAAGCGGATCCTCAAGCAGAACGGGTGGGACGCCATGTCTCCACGGGCGTGTGTGAACCGACTCCTCGCCGACCACGCGCTGCATCGGCGAGAGCACGACCAGGAGCGCACGCGGCGTGAGACCATCGACTCCGAGACAGGCCAGGCGTTCTTCCGGCCGAAAATCAACAAGTAGCACAGCGTCGCAAAGAGGGTCGTCGGCAACGATGTACCTAGGTCCAACTTGCAGCGCCACGGCGACATCTGCGTCGAGCTGTACGACCAAGCCAAGGCTACGGACGAGAAGCGCGCTGCGCTCCAGAGCCAGCTGCAGCACGTACATCACGCTGGGCTCAAACTTCGTACTACTGATTGCGAGAGCGTAGAAGGCCCAGCAACTGGCGACGCCGCGCATGAACCCAACGTCGCTCAAGGTTTACAAGAAGCGACTGCTTCGTGAAGTCGACGTGCTCTTGAGTCTGGTGCCGGGCGAACGCAGCGACGACGGGACCCTCTCCAGCGACCACCTGTTGCATGTGTTTGGCTACTTTGGTACGAGTCCTCCTTCTGTGTTGTCTGACTGAATCTTGTTGCAGGCGTGCTGCCGCCGACGGTGGCGACGCCAGAAAACACCCTGTGGCAGCACCTCCAAGCGACCGTCACGACGGTGCGTGTGCTCAAAGAGTGGCTCTTCCGCATCGTCCTCGCACCCGCAGGTGTCTTTGGACGCCGTCCACGCAGGATCGATGCTCTTTGAGTAGAGCTGCGGGGCGCGCAAAAGCAGCTGCGCCAGCACTACCTCTCTCGAGACCGCCACGCGAAGCGCACAAGCGACGACGACGCGGCGCCAAAGCACGGCCCATCAGCAGCAGGCACGTACTCGATGCACGGCCACCTCGTGTCGGCCTCCAAACCGGACCCGACGATCGCCCGCCAGCGCGAGCTCGACGCCAAGCTGCAGTGGCTCCGCGACGAGAAGCGAGCGCGCGAGCAGGCCGAGTGCACGTTTGCCCCCGACTTGCCGATTGAGGTTGGATCAGTTCTCCACTACTAGTACGTGACGAGGCGAATATACCGTGGATTCAGGTGCGCCCACCAGATGTCGTTGCCCAACGCCTGTACGAGCAAGGCCTCGAGCAAAGGCGAGAGCGCGACGAGCGCGTCCATGCAGCGCGACTGGCCAAACAAGCGCAGGTCGACCGCGAATGCACGCGCCCCGAGAGCCCAAGTGCTGCCGACCGACTGCAAGCCTTTCTCGCGCTGCCGCCTCCCGTGCGATGCGAATCTGCTTTCCTTTGTACTGAGACGTGGCGATGTAGAAGCCTGTCGATGGCTTTGAGAAGGCCGTGCAGTCGCTGCGCCGCGGCCACGCCGAGCGGGCATGGCGCAAGGCGAGAGGCGACTCGCCCATCGCACTGCACTTGGACGTGACCAAGTTCCGGTCCGAGGACGGCCGCACCACGGTGCCGCAGCCGTTCCACTTGACCTCGGTCCGTATCTCGACCTCATTGGCTTCTACGGACCCGCTGCGTAGACGACACCAAAGGAGGTCCCATCAGCGACCATTCGCCGGCGCCGCCATAGCCAGTGGCAGCGCGAGGCAGCGGCGGCTGTCGAGGATGACGACGACGACCATGTCCGTGTCCAAGTCCACATTTCGCCGACGCTCGTCCACACGCTGGACGTGTACGCTGACAGCGATGTGCCGACTCTCGTGAGCCAAGTGGTCACCGAGTACAACGTACGTCTCTGCTGCTTCTATTGTTATGAGACGAAAGCACGCGGGTGTAGTTGGAGCCGCACCAGGCCGACCGCCTCTTGACATTGCTGTCATCAACCTCCGACGAGAGCGTCCTGGACGACGCGCCGCTGCTGTCGCGGCTAGAGACACTCGACTTTTCCAACATGATGTGTTGTTGTTACGAGACTTAGCTCTCGGCGAGCTCGTGGCCGCAGCGCCGACAGAACTTGGCGTCGTCCTGGTGGAGGTTCATGAACGGCCGGCAGTGGGGCGTCGGGCAGTGCAGGACGCGGAAGCCCATGTCGGTCAGCGACACGGTCGACGGCGTCGCGTTGAGCACGAGGGGGCACGCGATGAGGCCATAGCCTACGTTGTGGTCGATGGGAAAATACTCGGCGGAAGTGCTGGACCTGAGAACATGACGAGCGTCGCAAGCATCTTGCCAGGCACCGTCTGCGGCGTGATGTCGCCGTACCCAACGGTCGTGAGCGTCACCACGGTCCAGTACATGCTCACGGGGATGTTCGAGTAGCCGTGGCGCTCGCCTACGCTGCGTGAGGGTGCGGTTTCTTATGGATCTCATGTGCGACCTTCGATGAGGTACATGGCGCAGCCAATCACGAGGATGATCGTAAACACCGCGCAGAGGAAGACGGCGATGCGGCGCTTGTTGGCGTGGATGTTGTCGGCCAGCGTCGCAGCAGCTTCGAGGAAGCGCGCGAGCTTGAGGATGCGAAACACCCTACCGCTGCGATGATACCAAGGGTGCGGAGAAGGCAGACTGTACCGGAGGATGCGAAAGACGCGAAGCACGGCGAGGTGCACGAGCGGGCGCGCCGTCGGAACAAAGACGACCAAGTACGTCGGGAGGATGGAGACGAGGTCCACGACGCCGAGCGGGCTCTTGGCGTACTCGAGCGGCCGGCGCAAGCAGAGCAGGCGCAAGACGTACTCGACCGAGAAGAGAAGCGTAAAGAGGATCTCGAGAAAGAGCAGCGTGTGGTCGAACGACTCGCGGATGGAGCTGACGCTGTCTAGGACGGCGACCGTGACGCTGACGATCGTTAGCACCATGATGGCGAGGTTGATTCGCTGGCCATGGCGCGTGTTCGTCAAGTAGAGCGTCTCGTATGTGAGCTGCCAGCCTGCGCGCCAGCGCACGTCGTCTCGGCGGCCACTCGCCTTGGGCGACGAGCCAGGCGTGTCCGCGGTCGGGATCATGGGCGGCGGGTCGAGCGGCGCGAGGTGCTTGCGGCGCGTGGGGCTGAGCGGGTTGCTACCCTCGCGGATGCCAAGGATCACCTCCTCGGACGGGCTGTTGGCTTGCACCTCTTCGTACTCCTCGGCCATCATCGTCGCTCGACGCCAATTTCGACCACGTCTGGATCTTGAGCTTCGAACTTCGGCTGTACTTGCACCGTCCAGCTTCGAACTACGACCCCGCACGGGATTGGTCGATGCAGACGATGGAAATTGATTACGCAGGCTCAAAAGTCTCATGAAATGAGACAGAAATAAAATAAACAGACACAAATTATTGTATTTCGGTGCGTGAAATTGGTGTCATACGTCTCCTATAACCAGATCAGAGTTGGGGTGATCGGGTCAGTCGCCGCCGGCGAGGCAGCGCCGGACCTCTCTATTGATGGTATTCTATGGAGAAACAGCAAGTCAAGCGAAGATGCAGCGCGATGAATGCGCCAAGACCAGTATCAGGGCAAAAAAGCCATTGGCTTTTTCAACACTATTTTGGATCTTCGAGCTTTTGACTTCGAACTTCGGTTTGTCGATTTGAAAATTCCAATTCGACGGCGACGACTACGGGTGCGACGATGATGCGCGCTCCGATGCAGCGGCTGAAGGACAAGGTAGACATGGCTCCATGCGGCCAGAGGTCGATGGGCTCATGAAGAAGGTTTGTAGATGAGCATCTGCGAGCGCACGCTCATGAGCCACCACACGCCCGCGGCCACCGTCGTCAAGGCCCTCGCCAACGTCAGCGATACGGTCATGGAGCTGCACGGCCTCGGCCAGCTCGACGTCGCCAAGTGCATCCACGAGTTCAACCTCATCGCGGTACGCCGCTACCAGCGGCGCGTCGTAAGAAGCCGCTCTCATGATGCGAACTAGGACACGGTCTTTCTCCAGCTCGACAATACCAATCCGCAGGTGCTCGCGTCTGTCTGCGAACTCCTCCGGGCCTTGTCCGTGTGTTGCGGCGAGTCGCTGCGACCGACCGCCGACGCGGTCATCATTGACATCCTCGGTCTCTGTGGCCACAGCGCGCGCAACGTTGCGTTCCACGCCAAGGAGTGCCTGGCGCAATGGACGCAGCAGACGTCGTATGCGCTGCTGCCCATCGTGACGATCCCCGACGCGCGCTTCAAGTCGCCCCAAGGTCCGGTCGCCCTGCTGTTCATGTACATGCTCATGCGCTCTAGACTATGTACGGTACGCGTATCACTTTGCGCTGCAAGTGCCCACGATCTGCGACCAGTGGCAGCCGGCTGAGATCGCCCCGTACCACGAAGAGATCTTCCAGCTCCTCTCCGCGTGCATCCTGGACGACAACACGACGATCCGCGTCGGCGGCTTCAAAGCGCTCAGCGGGCTCTTTGAGTTCCAGCGCCACGAGATGAAGATGAGCGCGACGCTGCTCGCCGAGAGCTACTTGGGTGCGATCCCAAAGCACATCATCCACGAAATCGTGCGCGAGCTGCCGCAGTCGCTGCTTGCGCAGACGGTGTCGGCGTACCACGCTCGGCAGTCGCATGCGGCGCCAGCACCCAAGTACCGCCCGCAGGAACTCATGTACCAAACGCCGCGCCGGCAGCAAGCGCCCAAGAGCTTCCAGAGCCGCATGATGCTCGCAAAGGAGTCGCCCGCCATCGCGCCCTCGACGTACTTTGCCCACCGCCGGCCGCTGCAAGAGGCCACGGGGCTCCGCTCGCGCCGGCCCCGCCCACCGCTCTTCGCCTCGACAGACAATACGGCAACAGTCGCCATCACGCGCTGGGATCGGTTCGGCAAGCTTTGTCGCATGGGCGGCCGCGGCTGTCGCTGGCTCGTCGACCAAGTGCTGCCACGCCGCGTCCAGCGCTGGCTCATCTTTTGGATCACGGTCGTCTCGGTGGTCTTTACGCTCGTCTCGGTCGTCTACTGGGTCATGCTAGCGCCCGCCTACGTGTAGTCTTTTGCCAGATAGTACAGACGCCATCTTGGCGAATTATTTAGTCGATTGAAGCATAAACACGCGCGCCAGAGTCAGGAGATGAGGCTCGGGAGCTTCAAGCCGCGTGGGGTTGCACTGCCCTGCTGGACAGCAGTTGCGCATCTCGCATTCCACCGTTGAAGATGCGGCGGTGCGCCCATCTTCTGGCCGCATCTCACAAGACTCCACATACTCCATGGGATCGCGAAAGGTGATCGGAAATCTAGAAGCCTTCTCGACCGTCGCTCAGACGCCGTCGCTCGTAGTACTGTCGGTGGACGTCGCTTGTGGGTAGCAGTCGCAGTGTAGCAGGCGAGGAAGCTACGAGGTTTCTTATTGCTGAGAACGTTGTCGCCGCTTCAATTCTTAGTTGCTCTTCTCGGAGGGAAGGGTGGAATGGGTGTCAATATTTCCGGCACCACTTCCATGCGCACGAGCGATGCAGCTGCTGCGCATCGACAGCGCCAAGGTTGCTCATTCTCCAATTTGCCACACACCGCAACATGCAACTCATCTCGCTCGCCCTCCTCGCTGCCGCCATCGCCGGCGAGACGCCCACATCGGCGCCGACGACGCCAGAGCCGACGACCAAGTCGTACTGCTCGCCCAACATGCTCGTTTGCTACACGAACGCCGGCGTGCCAGGCATGTGCTACAACCCCGCGCACTCTGGCTGCTGCAACGGCGGCGCGTACGTCCTCTGGAACTGGCAGGCGATGCCGCAGTACTGCTGCGTGGACAGCGCCGGCCGCTACAGTGTCGTCGCCGCCTACGGGTGCCCGGCCAACGCGACAACGTCCGCGCCGCCGTCCAACGTCACGACGGTGCCGGCCAACGTCACGACGGTGCCGGGGCGCCCGTCATTACGCTGCCGCCCGTGACCGGTTGCACGCCCGTGAGCGTTCGTGGCGACGCCACGTATTGCATCCAGGGGCCCATCTGCAGCGGCGACGGCCTCTTGCCGGCGGGTATCAAGTGCCCGATGGCCGGCGCCATCGCGTCGGCCGACTGCCACTCGCATCTGCCGAGCTACGTGAGTGGCACCGACTGCGCACTCTCGGTCAACACGACGTGCGCCAAGATCCCGACCGGCGCGTGGGGCTGCGTCCTCCCGTCGTCGTTGTAAGAAACGCGTAATGTATTATGTCTTGTGTCTCGAAGAATCGACTAAGTTAAGAATGCCTGCGCGCTACGCGTGCCCATGGTACAAGAACGAGACGATGCTGTGCGTCAAGTGCAGCGCTGTCTGCAGCGTGCTGCGCCACAGCGGCGCGTCGCGGTGCACGACGCGGTGGGCGGTTGGGCGAAGGTGCTTTGTGGATTGCGCCATCGCGTGCGTCTCTTGCCGCCATTCGTGACGCTTGCGGTGCGCGACGAGGCAGGCGACGCTGGGGCCCATGAGGAGGAAGGCCAAGGCAGGTGGGCCGTCCAAGACGAGCACGACAAGGCCCAAGCACCATCCAAAAAAGCCCCCAAGAATACCACCTAGCAGCAGTAGCAGGATCTCGTGGTAGGTCGACTGCTCGTGGGCCGCGATCTTGGCCTTGGCTCGCCGTGCAACCGCGGTGACCTGGATCCGCTTGGTCTCGGAGAGCTCGAGGCGCCGCTCCATTGTGCGCACGCGCGCCTTGTAGGCCTCGACCTCCGACCGCAGCTCCTGTACGATGAGCTTGGCGACGTCCCGCTGCGCCATGAGCTCCTCTTCCATGAGCGTGGTGTCCATGGCCAGTTGCCGAATCCCAAGCGCTTGTTCGGAATTCGCGAAAAGGTCGGATCCTGGCCGAGATTCCGAGCGCGCCAATCATATGCCAGCATTTGCGTCGAAGAAGACGAAACTTCGATCGAAGCCAGCTGGCCACATACAAAACAAGTGTGTTTACAAGACAGCCAAAAGCCGACCCGGTATGCACCAACTTCAACGTCTCCGGACGTACCTACGGACTCGAGTCCCTAGCGATTCGGAGGAGATTCCCTAGTCCCTAGTTGCCGTTATGGTTACAAACACGGACAAATATGTAACTGCAGATCACAGTTTTACCTTTCCCGCGATGCTCATCGGGCTCACCTTTCTGACCACCTTCATTGGCGCGAGCGTCTGGTACATCGTGATCGTGGCGCCAACGCTAGCCAACGATCACTTTTGGTCCGGCTTGGAGACCTCGACGGCGCAGGCGTACTTGCTCGACGTCTACCGCACACACCTCACCATGACGGCGTCTGCGACACTGGACCTTGCAGCGCCATCCCAAGCTATCTTGAAGCCCTACGGCCTGTCGTCCACATCCGGGTATGTCAAGCCCACCTACCCGCGCGCCTTGGCACTTGCCCGCTACGACTCGGTGGAGGGCGCTGTCGAGCATCTACGCACCCTCGGCGCGTACCTCTCGACCATGTTTTGCTGGGTCGACTTTGGCCGGCGCTGGGAGGTGGGGCACACGGCCGCTCGCCAAGCGCGCTGTGACGCGATGCGCCGAGCGAACGGCGCCGTGTATATCGAGGCGTACTTGCGCAACGTCGACGCGTGGGCTACGATCGACTTGAGCCTCGCCGTTGCGAACGCGGTTGTCGCGCAGCCGCAAGGCGCTGCGTGGTGGGCAAACGTCTTAGCCCCGATGTTGTCGATCGCTGGCGAGGCAGCCTATTGGCACACGTGGCAAATATCAAGCTTTCAAGCGCAGTGGTCCAACGACTATCAACTTGGGCTCGTCGAAACCATCGCCGTGCGCAACATGCTCGGGTGGGACCAAGCGCTGACACTGTCGGCGATCTCGTTCGCAGATCGCAGCGCGCTCGGCACGTCGCTCTTCCTCAACCCGTCTTTCTCGTACGACCTCTGGATTGCGCAGGCCAAGTTTGGCGCCAACCTAAACGCCAGCATCGTACGCAACGCCCCCAATTACATGGGCGACGGCGAGCTGCAACTGTACACGGGCGTCTACCTCGCGACGCCTGCGAGCGTCATCGTGCACGAGTGCCTCGGCCCGCTCACTGCCGTCGATTTGTATCTCGTCGCTCCACCAAGCGCCCTCGTGACGGCCCTCCGAGCCGTCGAAGCTGCCATCGTCGTCGCACTACAAGATAACGGTGACCTTCTCGCTGCATATGCCTCGCTGCCGTCGCCGACGCTCGACCCGGCACCTCGCGCATGGTCGTCCAGCGACTTGGTCTTTTACGGTGGCAGTCCCCTGTGCTTGTACCACCCTGGCACCACCCGCGTCTCGCAGTCGTTTGCGTTTGATGACACGTGCAACGCCGTCGTGCAAAGTCAGATGGCAGTCCACCCCATGGCCGCGATGGTGGCGTCCTTGGCCTCCGACGGGGCAGACGACCCGTGCACCCTTTGCAGCGCTAAGACGCGAGCCGCCTGCAGCTCCCTTCGAGCAGCGACGGCTGACATCCTCCGCAACATCTCTCTCCTTGACAAGAGAATGGCGCTTGCGTCGACGGCGCGGGCCGTTCTCGAAAGCATTGAGCTCGTGCAGTTGGCGATGACATGGTCGCAAACGCCGATTCTGCTGCGCCAGGCGATTCTGGGCGACGGGGGTTGGAACTACTTTGGCTGGATTGCGCTCATGGACTGGGTGTACGGCGACCGCGAGGTCGTTTCGTTCCAAGGCGACGTCGCGACGGTCAACATAATCTCCGAGACCTTGCCGTCCGTCGTCGTCACCGCAACTGCGCTTGAAGTTCCCAAAAGCACAAGTCTGTGCCTCTACGCAAACCTCGTAACCTCCACAAGCCTCCTCGTGATCGTTGCCGTCCTCGCGGCCGCAGATCGACAGAGCTGCAACCACTTGGTCTTCTTCTGCCGTGTCGCTGGACCGGTCTGGGTCGGACGGCCACTGCTGCTCTTACGCGCCCTGCCCGCCATCGCCGCGCTTTGCACCGTGTCGCTAACCTTTCACGGGGACAGTCGTCTGTGTCGGTTCAACCACACACCTCGGTCTCTCCTGCACACGTGCGTCCTTGCGCTCGAAGCGACGTGGATCACGACTGTCGTTAACGATATCTTGCTCGTTGCGACCACCCGCCGCGCTAGACGCGCCGCCGTTGTGAGTGGCGTGCTCGCTTGGTTAGGCCTTGTGGTTTTCGATGTCACAGCGCCGCTGCTAGCTCACTCGACCGTAGAGAGAGCGTGTAGAAGCAAAGATGGCGTGCTGCACTGCTCCAGCGGCATTGTTTCGGTTGGCTCTCTGGATCGCGCCTACTGGATGATGGCTCTTATGGCGCTGGCGTTGCTGTTCGCGTACGTCTGTGTGCCCCCAGAGCGCGCGCTTCGCGAGACGCCCAAGGACGCACATTTTGTGCCGGCGAGCGCCATCGCGTACGTGGCGCCTTCGCGGGAAAGCTGGCACATCGACCACGCAACCGCCGTCATGAGCGGCTTCTTCCGGTGCCATATTGGTGCGAAGGCATACTTGCTCGACGTGAAGCTGTGGCGACTCTTCACAATAGAGCTTGGCCCCCGCGTTGACCCCATTATGGCCCTCGACGCCCCCCCACACCTCGTTGCTGTCGGTCACCAACCGTGGCGTGCGCGCGGCAAAGTCTGCGCTGGGCTTGTGTACGTCACGTTTTCGGCCGTGGGTAGCATCTCGTACCTCCAGCTCTCGACCGTCAACTTGGGCAACGACATGTACTGGGCAACGTTCAACACGTCTGGCATGCACACGTTTGTCGCCAACTGGTTCCACCGAGAGGTCACCGCTGAGCATGACGGTGTGCGCCTGGACACACCCGAATTCGCCGACACCTTGCACGACTATGCGTCGCCCGACGCGCTCATTCAGTACTCGCCCTTGCGAGCCCGGGCCATCCAGTCCGAGAGCGGGCTGGATCTACCGATGATGCTGCAGGGTCTGCGCCAAATGGACGGATGCAATGCGCCTTGGATCGCGACCATGTACTGCTGGGTGGACTTTGATCAAGCGCTCGAGATGGCGTCGTCGTCCCGTCGGCAGGCGCGCTGCCGCAATCAGTACGCGAATAACGGCGCCGTGTACCTGGAGGCGGTGCTGCGCAATATCGATGTCACTGCGTTCTTCGTGTGCTGGGGCGACTCGTTCGAGGTCGGCGTTGCATCCGCTGTCCGCGTCTTGCGCCCGTCGTGGCTGTTGTCGTTGCCAATGACCCCGATTCCAGTCGCGGAAGAAATCTTGCTCTGGCGCACGCACAACATTGCGTCCTACACGACGCAGTGGCAAAACTACAAGTCCATCGGACTCGACGCGAGCTTCTCCGTCACCAACGCCCTCGGCGTCTCGTACGACTTTGGCATCGAAGCCCACAACGGCGCGTTCACGGTCGAAGCGTCAACGTCGTGGAGCTTTTATTGGACGTTTGCGAGCGATCTCTGGGCCGTCGCCAACAATGCGTCGGGTGTTGGCGGCCTCTCGCTCGTGCGGCAGAGTCCCCACTTTGCCTTTGCCAATCAATCGGCGCACGCCATGTACATGCACAACGGCACATTGCCGTCGCCGCTCAGCACCGGCGCGTCGATCGTCGCTGCCAATATCGGACCGTTTGGCGCGATTGACATCCGCCACGTGGCACCACCGGCCGCCCTGCGTCGGTTCGTACATCACATCACGCATGCGAGCGCGGAGGCACTGGCCACTCGAAGGGACACACGCGACGCGTACGCGTCCTTGGCGCTCCTGGCGCAGCTGACGCCGATACCGACCTCGATCAACAAAACGCTGTACATGGGCGCCGGCGCCAGTGTCCTGTGTCATAAAGTGCTCGGTGTGTTCAACTATTCGGTCTCGATGGCGCAGTTCCTCGGATCCGACGCGCTCTGCAGCCGCTTGCAGGGCGAGTGGCTCTACCCGACAAAGCACCAAGCGCTCGTGGCCTCGATCGCGTCAGGCATCGCGCTCGCACCACAGCCAAACGCGCGCCTGGCTTGCAGCACCGAAGCTCTGGATCCAAAGGGCTGCGTCGACTTTACGACCAACGTGGCGGCGCTGGCGTCGACGCTCTTCTCAGCCGCGTCGCTGGCGGGATACCGTCGCGAGGCCATTGAGCTGGAGGCCAACGCTCTGCGCGTCGGGTACACTCAGTTCCTCTATCGCAGCGACGACGCGACGTACGAGCTGTTCTTCCAGCCGCTTTTCGAGGAGCCTGGCGTGCACTTTGTCAGCTGGACCATGCTGTACGACTGGGCCGTCGACACGCGGGAGGTGCTCGCTTTCGACGGCGATATGGCGTCGTTCGCCGTCCTCTCGACGACATCGCCCGTCGTGTCGATGGCCGCCAACACGATCGAGATGCCGCTCAACGTCGTCCTCTTCTTGCGGACGCTGTGCCAGTACGTCTCGGGCGTCCTTGCCGGCATCGCGCTCGTCGCGGTCGGATACGCTATTTTGAATGCTTTCACGACCGAGGGCCATAACCTTTTCCTGCTCAACCGTGTCGCGGGCGCCGTCTGGGTAGGCCGCCCGCTGCTCTGCGTGCGCAGCTTGACGGCGCTCTGCATTCTGAGCACGGCGACGCTGCAATTGGAGCGCGCGGATTTTGTGACGATCGCGACGACGACGCGTCAGGATGTGAGCATGACGCTTCTATCTCTGTCAAAGGTCCTGGCCGCGAGCGAGCTCGGCTGGCTCGTCTACGTGCTCGAAGACGTCGCCATGATCTACACGCGGGAGTACGCGACGCGGTACACGACCAAGACGGCGCTGCTGACGTGGTGCGTGGCCTCGATCCTGAGCTTTGCGAGCCCTGTCGAGCACAGCGTGCGCCTCCAGCCATCCTGCAGCGTGGTCGAAATGGACTTTTCGCTCGCCTGTCGCCACGGCGACGTCGCCATCGGCTCGCAGCGGCGGCTGCTCGTGCTCTTGGCAATCGCCGTTGGCATCTCGAGCGCGTGTTTTGCTATTGCCCGCCTCTGCGGCGCCCGCGCCAAGCTCGTCGACGCCAACGAGTCGCACTTGACGTCGTGTGGCGCCAAGTACCTCTTCGCGTCGACCCGCTGGGTCCACAACCACGTGCTGCACCTCGACTACGCCTCGGCCGCGCTCACGGGTCTCCTCGCGTGGCCGATGGGCGATGCGCTGGTCGTGGTGTTTGACGTCAAGACGTGGCGGACGCTCACGTTCGAGCGGACGCGCGGGGCGTCGCACGCGCTCGTCCGCGCCATCCCGCTGCGCACGTAAATACAGGTGATGGGCATGGAAAAGGTCAGATAAATGCTGAATACCAAATATGGCGAATCATATGCTCTGTGTGGCCTCGAAGACACTGAAACTTCGATCGAAGAAAACGTTTTCAATACAAACATACCGATTAATAGCCAGCCATAATCTGACTCCAAGCGGCTTCAACAAGGCAGGCACCGAGAGAGACATCGCTGCTGTCTGCGGCAGCTTTCCGTAGGTGCTGCCAACAGGCACGTGGACCAACGGTGTGTGTGCGATATATAGGTTAAAGGGCCCACCTCGCCAAGTGTGGGGCAACGAGTGAGGTTGACGTCGCTGTCGAAAGGCTCTAGTCTCTCGATGGGAGTAAAAACTTGCGTCGACCAAGTTCTTATCGTTGAGAAACCGCTGGCCGACCCGGACAGTTCACGATTGCGAGCTTCCGTTTCGCGATGAGTGTTCGTCAGCGCGACTCGACCGACAAGCGGGCGTCCGTCGTCGACATCGCGGCGCTGCCCATGATCCCGAGTGACGGCGACATGCTTCCGCCGCTCGAGAAGCAGCCGTCGATGCGCGCGCTCCTCACGCCGCGCCACATTGTGCGCGAGGCGATGAGCGACAGGCCGGATCTGTCGGTTGCCGCCGACGACGACAAGGACACGCCCGCCCACTGGAGCGTGATCCTGCCCGACTCGCGCTTCCGGCGTCTGTGGGACCCACTGCAGCTCGTCCTGCTCATGTACGCCTGTGTGTTTTCGCCGTACCTAACATGCTTCCGGCTCGTGCCCCTCGAAGGCTACGTGGCCTACTACAACCTCGTATACTTCCACTTGGTATCCGCTCGAGTTGAAAGACGATGTGTAGACCGCCGCCGATCTGCGCGCCAACGAGCAATTCATTCACACGCTTGATGGCGTTGTCAACACCCTCTACGGCCTCGATCTGCTCTTGAGTTTCCGGTAGGCGCGGTAGTGCATGCGAGCAATCAGATCGGAGTGGCCGTGTAGCTTTGCCTTTGTCGATGCCAAGTCGGGCAACATCGTCAAGCGGCCCGAGCGCATCGCGGCGCACTACGTGCACGGGTGGTTTGTGTTTGATTTGCTCGTGACGATCCCGTGGGACCAAGTCGTCGGCGTCTCCACGGCCAAGGACGCCATCATCCTCGAGCTCATTCGCATCTTTCGCCTCGCGCGCCTCACCAAGATCCTGCGCCTCATCAAGGTACGCACGTCGGTGTCGATATACACTCTTATGGCGGCGCAGTATGGACAGATTGTCGAGTTCCTTGAAGACCAGACGCCCATGAGCCGCAACATGGTCGTCACCCTCGAGCTCCTCTCGACGATCTGCCTCGTCGCCCACTACACAGCCTGCGGCTTTTACATGGCGGCGCGGCTCAACGCAACGTACATTGAGAACTCGTGGCTCGCGACGCTCAACCTGCTGAACGCGTCGCCGTTCGACTTGTACATCGTGTCGCTGTACTGGGCCTTTACGCTCATGACCACGGTCGGCTTTGGCGACATCTACCCCGTCACCACGTACCTCTTCTTGCTACACAAACTGCGTGAGAAATCCTGTTTGATCAGGCAAGAACGCGTGTTTACGATCGGCGCCATGGTCATCTCGGCGGGCACGTACGCCTACGTCATTGCCTCCATGTCCTCGATCGTTGCGTCCATGAACGTGACGCAGTCGCGCTACTACGAGCGCCTCAACGAGGTCAACGCGTACATGAAGGCGCGGGACCTCCCCGCGTCGCTCCAATTGCGCACCCGCAAGTACGACCCAATATATGCTAAAGCCGGGGAAACGAACCGCGAGGTAGGTATTATCGGTACTTTTTACAGCGCAAGACGGTCTACAACGAAGCAAGCATCCTCGAGGACCTACCGACCAACCTCAAAAGCGAGGTCACCGAGCACTACATCAAGGTGACGATCCGAGACGTCGCCTTCTTCCACGGTACGACCGCTGCTGTGGCAGGAAGGTAAAAAAACGGTGTTTAGACCTCCCCCATGGTTTTACGACCGAGATTGCAATGCATCTCAAGCCGACGTTCTTCCCGCCCAACTCGCTTGTTCTCAGCGTACGAACTATCGTCGCCGTCGTCGTGAGGGTATCGGTGGTGGCTGTAGATGGGCGACGCTGCGGGCGAGATGTTTATCGTCTCCAAAGGTCCCATCACGCGACCAAGTTCTGCAACTAAGATCTTGCGCAGGGATCCTGCACGTGGCCTTGCTCCACCCAGAGACGCAGCAAGAGTTTGGGATCGCGTACCTCTACGACGGCGACCACTTTGGCGAAATGGCGCTGCTCCTCGAAGAGCAGGCGAAGAAGCGGTCGGCCAACATTCGATCCAAAACCTACTGCGAGCTCCACGGTACACGGTTGCAATTGGTGTATAAAATGCTCATGACGACCAGGCCTCGAGTACACGAGCCTCCAGCTCGGGCTCTCGCGGTACCCGACGGTGCTCGACAAGCTCATGGGCATGGCCGTGTCGCGCCAGATCCTCCTCAACAACCTCCAGAAGACCAAGGTGGCCAACATGGTCTTCGCCATGCAGAGTCGGTCTTGCGAGCGTGTCGTATGGGAGATCTTATGGTACCAATCTGCTAGAAAAAGTCTCGGACCGCAAGTTTCAGCGCATGGCGGCCGAGACGCAGAGCCGCCTGGTGGGCAAGGTCTTCTCGCGAGTCTCGCGCGCGTCCAAGGGTTGCTACTAGCGCGCCATTAAACGATTATTTATTGCACAACACAACGTCGTGGCTAAATTAGGGTTGCAGAAATAACGACACGGACAGGCGCGTCGTGATGGACTGTCCGACGCAAGGGCCCACGGACGACGCGCTGTCGCAGGACAGTCTTAGTCTCGACGGACGTGGACCGGCCATGAGCGAGATTGCAGACGACGAGAGCGACGACGCTGTGGAATCGCGAGCAGACGACGACGAGAAAGGCGAGTCGTGGGCCTCGGACCCGCCCGAATTTGCAGCGGCCTTGGCGATTTCCGAGTCGCGGGCGCGACTTAGCGTCATGCTTCCGACCGAGCCAACGAGCACCTTGCGAGCATATATTTCAACATCGGGGACGGACCCGCAAACCGACCGCTCCGGAGACCACGGCCAGGCACGGCGTGGCACCCGGCTCTCCCGTATCTTTACGGCGCCAGCAAGCGAAGCAAGAGCGCCAGAGCCCTTTACAGCGTCGACATTGCAGCTCCTGGACGTCGGTGCAAAGCTGGGACCGTCGTCGTCGCGCGCACTCATCGGGTCGCCGTCCCGTGAGCAGGTGCAGCCGACGGCTTCCCGCGTAGACACGCGCATCGCGATGCCCAAGTTGGTCAAGGAGGACAGTCGTCCAGTGAATGTGGATGCTGCTTCCAACGACGATACTACGCGCCACCCGTTCGTGCTGCTACCCACCGCCCCGGTGCTCGTGGTCTGGAACAGCGTTCAAGTGGGTCTCCTCCTCTATGTCTGCATCGTCGCGCCATACTTTATCTGCTTTGCGGCGCAACCTCTGGACGGCTACATCGCCCACTACAACATCGTTGGCTATGTCCGACATGTCCATGGGCTCACATTTGACATGTAGACCGTGGACCAGCTACGTGCCACGCACGCCTGGATCGACACGACGGACCGCTGCATCGACGTCTTCTTCGGCGTCGACATCCTGCTCACGCTGCGGTGGGTTTTGTATCCGTGTATCAACACAACAACGTCTATGTACCTGTAGACTGGCGTTTGTGGATCCGAGGTCGGGGGTCGTCGTGCGTGACCCGAGAGATATCGCGCGTCGGTATCTGCGCGGGTGGTTCCTCTTTGACGTTCTCGTGACGCTGCCATGGGATCTCTTTCGTATCGAACCGACGGCTGTCGCGAGCCTCGTTGGCGTGTTCCGGCTGGCCAAGCTCGGCAAAGTGCTGCGGCTCATCAAGGTCCGTGACGCACATGACGGAGATGCCTCTAGCAATGACGATCTAGTATGGTCAAATTCTCGAATTCTTTGAAGACCGGATCTGCTTGAGCCGGAACGCGGTCGTCGCGTTCGAGCTCCTCGCAACGATTGGGCTCGTAGCGCACTACACCGCGTGCGGCTTTTACCTCGTCGCTCGGCTGAATGACGACTACCTCAACACGTCGTGGCTCGCGACACTTGGCTTTCTGAACGAACCGCCATGGAACCTCTACGTGATTTCGCTCTACTGGTCGCTGACGCTCATGACCACGGTGGGCTTTGGGGACATCTACCCTGTCTCCATGTAGTTCTATATTTCTCTTGCTTGTTACCAATATGGATAAATGTTAGCTACGAGCGCAGCTTTGCGATCCTGGCCATGGGCGTCTCGGCCGCCGCGTACGCCTACGTCATCGCGTCCATGTCGTCGATCGTGCTGCTCATGAACATCAACGAGACGCGCTACTACGAGCGCCTCAACGAGGTCAACGCGTACATGAAGGCGCGGGACCTCCCCGCCTTGCTCCAATTGCGCACCCGCAAGTACGACCCAATATATGCTAAAGCTGGGGAAACGAACCGCGAGGTAGGTATTATCGGTACTTTTTACAGCGCAAGACGGTCTACAACGAAGCTCGCATTCTTCACGACCTGCCCTCGAACCTCAAGCACGAGGTCGCCGACCACTACGCCAAAGTCACGATCCGCAACGTCGTCTTCTTCCATGGTGGGAGCATTTTATATTTGTTTGTCAAGCGCGCTGAAGACATATATTGCGTAGATTTACCAAAGGGCTTTACGACCGAGATCGCAATGCGGCTCAAGCCAACATTCTGCCCGCCCAACTCGGTCGTAATCACGGTAGAACGCTCAACGCAACCTAGCAGCCCATCGGTGCTTTCGTAGATGGGCGAAGTGGCCAACGAAATGTACATCATCTCCAAAGGTGCGTGATATTAGCAGCTTCAAGTCCAATATACGACGCCAGGCATGCTGCACGTGACGCTGCCGCACAAAGAGTCGCAGCGGGACATTGGCATTACGTACCTCTACGACGGCAATCATTTTGGGGAGATGGCGCTGCTGCTCACGGACCAGGAGCGAAAACGCACGGCCACGGTGCGCGCCGAGCTCTACAGCGAGCTGCACGGTGGGACCAATATATATATATATATATATTGAATATTCATCGCGCTCGTAGGGCTCGAGTATGAACACCTCGAGGCTGTCCTCGCGCGGTATCCGATCGTGCTCGAGAAGCTCATGCACATGGCCGTTGCGCGCATGATTCTACTGACAAACCTGCAGAAGAGCAAGGTCACGAGCATGATCTTGGCCATGCCCAGTACACAACATTACATGCGCTGACGAGGTCTTGACCAATACGATTGGGCTAGAGAAAGGCGCGGCCCAAAAGTTCCAGCACATTGCGTCGCAGTCCAAGCTGCGCATCACAAAGCAGCTCATGCGCCGATTTTCACTCACTAGTAAAGTGTGAATTCACGATATATATTTCTCACAGAGGTCGTATGAGAAACGAGAATCCAACGCGACTTTATTCATACCATCATGCGGGGCCGCACCAGTGGTAGTTGGCCCCCGCACTCGCACAAATCGACTGCGTCCACCCCGCAAAGCAGGCTGCAATCGCGCCATCGTTGTAGTTGCAGTTGGTGCAGACCCCAGTGGGTGTTGAACAAACGGACGATGGCGGGCGCGTCGTGGCAGTTGGTGCTGGTGGCGTTGGTGTGGGTGCTGGTGGCGTCGGTGTGGGTGCTGTAGATGTTGAAGTCGGCGATGGCGTCGTCGGAGCTGGGGCTGGCACTATCGAGGGATCCGACGTCGGCTTGGGTGTTGGCACTGCCGTTGGCCACGGTGTCTTGGGCGGGTACGCGCTAGTCTGGCAAGAGAGGTTGTCACCGGGTGAGACTCCAAGCACCGAGCAAAACTTGACGTAGTTGGCGATACGCGCCTTCTCCGAGTTCTTATTGGGCGGGTTGAGACCGCACTCGAGGCCGCCGTTGATGAGATACGTCGTGTAGGCAAAGCCACCCGGCTGGCCGACCACGTTGTGGATGTTGCCATTCCACTTGTCCGTGTTCCAGTACCAGAGCGCGCTGCGCCACACGAGGTTCTTGTCGGTAGCGACGAGCTCTGGCTGGCGCACGAGATCGAGTCCGACAGCCGCCCCAAAGTCTTTGTAGTTGTAGTTCCATGAGAGCTGGATGGCACCGCGACCTAAACCTGTTGCTTCTTTTGCATCACCACCGGGAGCGCGTACCGTAATATTGCTTCCCTGGGTAGCACGGATACTCGGCGGACGCTTGGCAGTAGTCGTTCTTGGCGATCTCCTCGGCGTACTGCAGATACCCTGTCTCCAAGGCGACTTGCCCGAGAAAGGCAGCAACTTCCCGCTTGTCGACGTCGTTGTTGCCAGTGTTGGCGAACGCCGGGTACGTGCCCGCCATGAGCACGAGGTTCTCGTACTGGTACACGGGCAGCGCCTGAGGAAACAGCTGGACAAAGAGCGCCTTGGAGAAGATCGTTGCGAGGCCGCCTGCACACACTGCATGTGGCAGCAGCGAGAACCCGATATAGGTAAGTGCTCGAAGCATGGTCAATTCAGCAATGCGGCTAGGAATCGAACGGTAGGCTCAGATTGTCAGATGATGGATATTGGGTGTGGGACTATGACACGGTGTCAACGTGCCCCTTGACGAGGGGTGGTCTGAGTCGGATCGCCGCAGTGTGGTCGCATTGTGCCATTTTAGATCTTCGCTACCATATTTTTCCGAGCCTGCCAGAAGCCTCGACGCCCTTTCACGCCGCGTCGAGCGCACTACAGGCCAACGTGGGTTGCGATGATGGACGATGCGTGGACATTCTCAAACGTCAATGATTTAACCGGTGGCTAGTCGAGCCGCTACGATTTTTCTAGCCGGCTAAACATATCTTGCTATTGAATAGCCGGTTATGCTCCGCCGGTTTGCAGTCAGAAATCGGGGTTCGATCTTGGTCCGGTACACGGATATTTCCGTACCCGGTGCACTAGTACACGGTAGTGAAAAATCAAAAGCAAATTTTATAGCGTGTTTCGTTCAGTGACTAATGTGCATTTTGACGGGAATTTGTGGAAAAATTGCTGCCAAATGCCGCGCTAATTGTCGTGAAAGGCCTGGCGAGGCTCGTCACCCTCGTCGACTGTCGGCGCTCGCAGGTGCGGCGTTGGGAAACGAGGAAACGTGATCGCATTCAAATCGACCGTCGCCATAGGCCTGCGTGGCAGCGGTGTCTTCTTGGGGCATGCGCCGGCCGTGTACGTGAACGCCCGGTTGCTGCACTTTTTCTTCTCCGCAAGGCACGCGTTCATGTAGATGACACCGTCCGAGCCGCATTGCAGCTCCACGACGACGGGCGGACACATCTCGTCTCCGCACGCTCGGGTGGCCACGCACGCGACCGCCAGCAGCGCCACGGTCCGCCGGAGCATTTTCGAGTCGCTCTCAAAAGTGTTTAGCGTTGGCCAATTGGAACGCCGTGTGACAGAAGGGACGGGCTAGACAGACACGAGCAACTCGCTTGCGACCGCGCAGACTGGAGAGGCGACCTCGACCGCCCGTATTGCATTTGTCGACAAGGGTCAATGTGATAGAGTAATGAAACACGTCATGAGCCTCGGCAAGAGGATCCTCGACGCTAACCAATTACGCCAAGTGGATATTAGCCGGTAGTATCCCACAGCAGCTGGTATCCCGTGCGTGATTTTAATTTGCTACGCTTATTTAGCTGAACCAATCATAGACAAGCACTTCAATCCAGCGACAGGCCCAGGCAAACGGCAACATGCCCCTGGGGCTGAGCACGGACGTCCTCAGGACGATCGCCTCGTTCGTCGCGTGTCCCTACACGTTTCAAGCCCTCGTGGAGCTCGCGCCGTACGAGGAGCTCGGCGACCCGCTCCGAGCCTTCGCCACCCTCGCGCGCTCCGTGCCCGTCGCGTACCTCTGGCCTCGCTTGCACTGCGACGTACTCACGCCGGACGAGCTCGCATCTGTCGACGCATTTGCCTCGCTGCGGCCTCTACTGTGCTTTGGAGGTATTCCGCGAGCCAACTATTCCTTCCTGGATGAGGCACGCGTCGCTTTCTCCAAGCACGTGTCGTTGGCGGTTGCCAGCGCGCTGCTGGGACCACGAGTCGAGGAGCTGTCGCTGACGCTTGACCGAGCAGACGATCCGAGCGACATCACCGCCTTTCTGGAGGCTCTTGCTGCGGCACCGCGATTGCGCAAGGTCCAGCTTCGTCTCGGCGCTACCTTGGTGCCACGCCTTGTAGCTCCGGTACTCCATGCGCTCTTCCACCATCCGAGCATCAAAGACGTGGCAATCGATGGGTCTACCTGGGAGACGGTCCCTCCATTCGTCACGTACATGCTCATCGAATTGCTCCATGAACCACGCATGGAAGCCTTCGCTCTTCGCGGCATGGCTCCTCAAGATGACGGCCCGCTCATGGACGCGCTTCGCAACTCGACACTGCGCAGCGTTGACTTCGTGCGCCAAGCCAACCTCAGCGATCAACTACCGGCGTCGCTGCGGCACCTCCGCCTTCAATCCAAGTTTGGCGGCGCGTGGCAGCCCGCCGAGGTCCTCGCCGGCGCTCGGCTCACGCGTCTCGAGCTACTCGGTGCGGCTGCAACCACCTTCACGACAAAGCCCATGGACCTTTGCTCCGCGCTCCGAGCGATGCCAACGCTAGAGTACCTCGCCGTTGACCACGTATCTGCCTCCGTTGGCCAGAGCTTGGCTGAGGTGTTGCCAACGCTCATGCACCTCGAAGACCTTCGCCTCGACTGTGCAGCGATCTCGGCAGCGGACCTCGGATTTCTTGCGCGCTGTCGCCGCCTCCAGCGCGCCGCCTTGCGCAACATTGCGTGGGACCATGTTCGCACGTGGGAACTTTGGATCGACGACGCTGCTTCCTCCCCGCTGCGTCATCTCTGCCTCGCCGGGCACGCGATACCCACGGCCGACCTCGCTCGTCTCTTCGACGTCCTCTGTCCTCGCCTCTGCGTGTGCTGCCTCGACACAAGCGACCGCTGCAGCCTTCCCGACGCAAAGGATTAAAGCGATATCTACTCGCTACAAGTTGCGACGAATGATGCACAACGTGTCTTACATGCACTGCTGGGAAGCGGCGGCAGGTGTCTATGCCCGCGGTCGTTTGCTCTTTCAATGCTGCCCGACGGAACTGGTTGCGGGCCGCTACCGTGACTCATGATGGAGGCTGGTGCCGGTGCTTGCACTCGTTCTTCGAGTTGCTTCAAGCGGGTGTCGGCAACGAAGCAGACAAAACGCTGGACGATTGTGTGCACAACTCTGGTGCGCGTCGTACTTTCCAAGTATATTAATGACAATGTCTGTGCTCGAAGAGACACGATCTACACACGGACGTCGTCGCCGCCTGGGACCAGTGTCGACACGGGGGGCAGTGTTGATGGTTGCTTGGGTGTTCTGGTCGTCGTCCACGCGGGTGCTCATGTCGTCCAACGCCATGTCGTCGTCTTCGTCGGCCATTGGACAATCGAGCTCCTCGTCGCCCATGTCGACATCGTCGTCCGATGTGTTGTCGGAAGGCGTTGGGATTGCAAAGCTGATGGCGCCAAGCGTTGAGCGCACGGACGGGTCGAGGCGCGCTGGCTGGTCGCGCATGGCCCATACAAAGAAACCGAGGGGCATCAAGAAAGCGCCTTCGGGCCACGCCCCACCGGTTAGCGGAACGTGAAAGAGCAGGGGCACGTGCGAATCACCGTGGAGCGCCATGTAGTGCTCAATGCACTGAAGCACGAGCACGGCCGAGTAGACGCGCTTGCCCGTCGACTCGGGGGCGACGGGCGACGGGACTTGAAGCAACGCCAGCGACTCGACGTACTTGGTTTCCATTTCAGCGAGCCACGATTCGCGCTTGGCGTCCAGCAGCAGCAAGTCGGCGCCCCAGAGGTCGCGTGGCCACGGCGACGTCGCCGGCACGGCAAACGACGTGGGCGGGTGCGTCGGAAACTCGGCCGCGAGGAGCTCCATGCCTTTGGGAATCGCTTGCAGCGGCACCTCGTCCCACTCGAAACCGAGCGCGTCCAGTTGCGCCAGCGCCGATGGCACGACACCGGCCGGCGTCAACTGCCGCAGCCACATGACCACCAAGCCGAGCTCCATTCCGTGGGCGGCCGCTGGCCAGACGGCGACAGCCTGAATCACAAAGTCCCGGGGCACGTGCAAATGATCAAAGAGGGCCTTGAAGGTCGCGAGCGCCTCGAGCTTGGAGAGCCACCGAGCGTCGAGGTCGATGCCGCGGACGCGGAGTTCAAACCGGTGGTTCATGGTCGCAAACGTCTGCCCAATCTCAAGCGAGAGCAAGCACGCGCCGACCATGACGTCTTGCAGTTTCTCCGGACACGCACTCGAGACGTCGCCGAGGCGTGTGTACTCGGACGGCGGCGAGCGCAGTCGCATCCAGAGATCGAGCGCCTGCAGGTGTGCAATCCATTGGCGATGGGCATCGTCGAAAAACACAAAACCGAGCTCCGAGAGCTGGTCGCGCACGGTCGGCGGCATGGCGTCGTCGCTGCGCAGGCGCTGGGCGAACACCCCCAGTTTGAGCTTCCACGTCATGGACGGCCACGCGCGGTCGTTCTCGGGCACGGTAAACGTCGGCGGCACCTCCAAATGGCCGTTCATCCGCTTGAACGCGCGAAGGGCTTCGAGAGCGACGTTGTAGACGACCATGGACGGGCGCGGCGGTGGCGACGGAGACACGGGCACCGATCGGCTCGGCGAGCTTGGCGTCGAAGTGGACGATGGGCGAGGGCGCGACCGGTGTCGGTGGGGTCGAGGTCGGTGCGGGTGGATGGGCATCGGCCGCAGCGACTCGAATGGCCTCGATCGTCGTGCGCGGCAGCAGAAGCATTCGCTTGGCCGTCGTCATGCACTCGACCCAGTGACCAAGCCGCGTGCCGTGCAGGTCGGGGGGCCACTCGGGGTCGGACGGCACCACGAACTCGGACGGGACGGGCTTTCGGCCGTGGAGCCGGTAAAAGATGCGGAGACCGTTCACCACGTGGGCCCACGTTGCTGTCGAATTGAAGCGAAAGCCGATCGCGCGCAGCTTGGCAGTCTGTTCCGGCAGCAGCTTGGTCGCGCGGAGGCCCACGTACCACGCGAGCTCGCCCAAGAGCACACCGTGCCACAGCGTGGGCCAGGCCAGCGTCGTGGGCACGACAAAGTCAAGCGGCACGGACGCCTCGCCGACGACGCGCCGGTAGGCGTCGACGAGCGACACAAAGACGTCAAAGGGCGGAACGTCCGAGAAGAGGCCAAGGCTTCGCAGCATCCGTTCCATCTCGGGCGGGATCTCAAACCAGTGGTACCGGAGCGACGGCGGAACATACGCCAAGAGAATGTTGGCGGCGCCCGGCGGCCACGCGTCGTCGCCGGCCGGCACGACAAAATCCAGCGGGATCGCGTCGACGCGCCCGTGCAGGCGATGGTACACCGCCAGCGCCTCGATTTGCACCGACAAGTCGATTGTGAGCACGACGCGGTCGCTGGATGACGCGTCTCGCACGACACAGCGCGAAGACGGCGCGGTCGAGCGCCACGTCAAGCCAACGGCGCGCAGATCGGCCTCCCGCGCGACATCGTACATGCGCTTGTAGCTGCAGATCTTGGAGACGATGATGCCAAGGCGCATGCCGCGACAGCCTTCCGGCCACTGCCGCGTCTGAACCGACGGCACGACAAAGTCCGCGGCACTTCGGCCGCGCCGTGCAGAGCTCGGTAAATCGCAATCGCAAGAGCTTTTATGTGCCAGTCGGCGACCTGCCACCGTCGTTGCGACCACCGGCGTCAGCGGCTGTCCCTGAGGCCTCGGTTCCAGCACCTTGAGATTATTGCGAGGCGACGGATGAATCGGGGTGCGTGCTTGCGCCGCGTGTCCGGCTCGTGGCTGGCTCTGGAGCCACCGAACGCCTTCTGCTAGCGGAAAGCCGTGGCTGTGCTCTGGCCACGCGACGCCGGTCGCGGGAATCGTAAACGTCGGAGGCAGGCGCGCCGACCCGAGGACCTCACGCAACACTCGCCCCATCGCGCGCAGTCGCCCCTTGACCGCTTCAACCTCGGCGCCAGTACGCGGCGCGACAAACGGCTGCGCGCTGCTGGTCGTCGGCTGCGCCCAGAGCTCGCCGACGGCAGCCGCAGTTGCAGGTGGCAGTAGCGACAGTCGGTGCGCGACGCGCGTGCGATCCGACCAGTACCCGAGCCGGAGCCCGGCAATGTCCGCGGGCCACGACGCTGGCGCGACAAACGCACTCGGCACCCGCAGTGCGCCGTAGTTGTGCGCAAACCACTGCAGCCCGCGAAGGATGCGCGCCCACGTCGCGTCCGCGTTAAAGTAGAAGCCCGCTTCTCGAGGAGCGTGAGCTGGTCCGCGTCCAGCGCCCGCGCCTTCAAGCCCACCGACCACGCGAGGTCTCCGAGCGAGAGGCCGCGCCACGCGTCGATCCACGGCCCGCCCGACGACGGCACGACAAAGTCGCGGGCCACGGCGCCCGAGCCAAACTCGGCGCGGTACATCTTGACGAGCTCCACAAACGTCCGAAAGTCCGGGATGTCGGTGACGATGCCCGCGGACCGCACCCACTGGGACTGGCCGTCCGTGAGCTCGTAAATGTGCGCTCGGAGCGACGGAATTACGTGCTCGAGCACGACGCCCTGCGACGCGGCCGGCCACGCGTCGTCGTCGGCCGGCACGACAAAGCCCGGCGGTATCTTGAGGTGCCCATGGAGCCTCTTGAAGGTCACGAGCGCCGTTAAGAGCGGGTCCCAGCGCATGTTGCGCGCGTGGAGCTTGCCAGAGTCGGCGTACTGCATCACGGCGCGCGTGACGCCCCGCGTCGTGCGCCAGAGGAAGCCGAGCGCATCAAGCATGCGCTGGCGCTCCGGCGGCAGCAAAACGCTCGAGTAGCGCAGCTGAGAGACGAGGATGCCCAACGAGAGGCCGTGGAGGTGCGGCGGGTACGGCGCCGCCGCCGGGATGCGGTACGAGGTCGGCACCGCCAAGTCGCCGTGCTCCCGCCGGTACAGAATCATAGCCTCGATCTTCTGGTCCCAAGGACGCTGCGTTCGAGCTCTGACCGACACTTCCGAGCCCTCGGTCTCGTTCGGATCCAGCTTGACGCCGTCCTCATTGTCCTCATTGTCCACCGGCGCATCGGTCCAATCAAAGCCGAGCGCCTCCAGCGCCGCCTTGTGCGAAGGGTCAATCCACGGCTGCGTCCGGAGAGCGCCGAGCACGGCACCGAGGTGAAGGCCTCGCCGCTCGAGGTCGGTCGCCTCGGGTGGCACCACGTAGTCGTCGGGCACGTTGGCGTCTCCAAACTCGGCGCGGTACGTCGTGAGCGCCGCAAGCACGTGGGCCCAAAGCGCTGCCGAGAGGTCTCTTTGGTCGCGGCTTCCGACATGGCGGGTCTCGAGGCGCTCGATCTCCAGCTGCACGGACGCTGGCAGTTGCCGGAGGTCGCGGGCGCGCTGGAGGCGTTGATGCCAGCGTCCGAGTTGCAGTCCGCCAAGGTCGGTGGGCCATGCGTCGTCGTCGGTCGGCACGACAAAGGTCTCTTCGACGTTAATGTTGCCGTGGACGCCCTTGTGCGCGTGCAGCCCACGAAGTATGCGCGCCCACGTCGTCGGACTGTTGAAGACGAAGCCTGTCGCTGCCAGCTGCTCCTCCTCGCCGGGAGCGAGCCCCGCGGCCCGCAGCCCGACGCCAAATGCGATCTCGCCCAGCGCGAGACCGTTCCATTGCGCGGGCCAGTCGGGGGAGGCAGGCACTTGGAAGTCGAGGCCAACGCTGCCATGGCCAAAGCGGGCTTTGAAGATGCGGAGGAGTCGGAGAAGCTCGGGCCACTGCGGGCGGTCCTTGCAGAGCCCGAGTGAGTGGACAGCCGTCTGCTGATCGAGATGCAGATCGTAAAAGTGGTGCGGCAGGCGCCGGAGCATCTCGTGCACGACGAGACCGCTCGTTTTGCGTGGCCACGGCGGCGAGTCCTCCGGCACGGTAAACCCGACCGGTACGTCGACGTGGCCGTAGAGCGTGTAAAAGACTTGGAGCGTTTGGACGAGGTCGACGAGCGACAAGGACTTGGTGCAGCCGACGCACGGCAGGCGCAGATGCCGGAGCTTGTTGACCCAAATGTAGCCGAGGTCGTCGAGGTCGGCGATGCGATCTGCGTACTGGAGGTGGATCGTCGCCCGGAACGCCGTCACGTACGCACCGAGCGTCATGCCGCGCAGGTGCCGCGGCCACCGACGGTCCTCGACGTCGACGGTGAACGTCATCGGAACGATCAAATGGCCGTAGATCGACCGGTACGTAATGAGCGCGTCCATCTTGTCCGCCCACGAGACGCGGAGGCGCAGCGGCCGACTGTCGTCTGCGTCCGCTCGCTTGCGCTTGATCGACGTCGGCGATTCATTTGGCGCGTTCGGGAGCGTTTGCTTGGGCGCGTTGCGCAGCAGCAGCATGTTGGCCCGCCGGAGCCTGCCTGCGTAGTAGCCGAGACGCATGCCCTGCAACGAGGCGTCCCAGTCGTCCGTGACTGGCACGACAAAGTCGGCGGGGACGTGCGCCTTCTCCAGCTTGGCCTTGTACGCGTCGACACCACGCTCGATGGCCGCCCACGTCTCGGGCGACTGGAAAGTCAGCTCAAAATCGTCGAGCTGGAGGCGCTTGTCTCGCGGCAGCACCTCGCGCTTGATACCGAGGAACCACACGAGCTCACCGAGGCCGACGCCATGGAACTCGGACGGCCATGCGTCCGTCGCGGGCACCACGTACTCGATCGGTACGATCTTGCTGTCGACGTTGGCCGCGTAGAGCGTGAGGAGGCGCTGGACGTCGCGCCACGGCGGCAGGTCGGTGCAGAGCGAGAGGCGGTGCAACGTCGTAACGTCGTCAACGCTTAGCTCGTAAAAGTAGCAGCGGAGCGTCTGCGGCGCGTACCAGAGCGCGACGTTGGCCGCGTCCGCCGGCCACGCATCCGAATTTTCAGGCACGATGAAGCTCTGCGGGATCTGCAAGTGCCCGTGCTGGTCGTGGTACGTTTGGAGCGCGGCCACGAGCGCCGAGAGCTCAACCTTTTGGAGGCGCAGCTTGCCAAAGACGCTGACGACGGTGCGCTCGATGCCCTCGGTCGGCGACCACACAAAGCCAAGCGCCTCGAGCAGCTCGAAGCGGTCCGGCTCCTGCATCTTGATGGCGTTGCGGGCGTTGGCCGAGATCATGCCCAGCGCCGCGCCATGCAGGTGCGCCGGCCAGGGCTCGGCGTCGGGCACGCGGTAGTTCGAGGGCACGCGGCAGTGGCCGTAGATGGAGCGGAAGATCGCGAACGCGTGCACCTTGTGCTCCCACGGCGTCTCGATCATCGGTGATTATGCCAACTGCGGAGCGCCGTCGTAACGACAATCTGTGACAGGACCACCTGGTGTCCATTTGAACACACCCAAGGATGCTAAACATACAGTAGCTCTGTTACTACGGCAACAGATCGTATCGTTGGTCGTCGTAGTCCGCGATTACTGGTCGTCGGCCAATCATCGCGAGCGACGACCATCGACACCATTACGTAGCCGCTAAAGCGTCGGCCGCCCGGCACCAGTCGTTCTGCCAACGCCTTAACGGTTAAAGCGGCGTGTTTCTAGACACCGTCAGCACCACCGAATTCTTGTTGCACACTATTTCACGGTGCACCATTGCTCGTCGGAGGTGATGTGCATGCGGCAGATATTAGGACAGGTCGTCTCGGTTGCCACCCCTTTGGCTGTGAGGCGCTGCATACTTTATGTTTGGGATGCTAGACTATTGCTCCTGTCGGCTGGCGATGTCGGTATCGCACGGGCTGGAAAACCCCACGCTGACGTCGACCCCAGTACGCACTGCGACTGCAGACAAGGTGATATGCACTTGGCACTGATGACGTGGCGCGCTGTGGCATCATCTTGAAATGGTATGGACTCGTTGTGCAATTTCGACTGTCTGCCTTGCACCGTAGCCAAGCAATCTGCCAAGGGTGGCTTTGGTCGCCCAAAACATCTCATTGCAGATATAAGGACCTGCTCAACAACAATTTAGTATCATTTGGGGTTATGTCGGCGTCTTTAGAGCTACCAAAGCGGCCCGTCGGGCCCGTGACATCCGGACGTGGCCGTTGTTCAGTTGTTGTAGCAAGTGGCCGAGCGGTAGCGCTGCGCTCATCTTATAGTCAAACGGGACGTCCAAGTGCCCGTAGTGATCGCGAAACTGGCGCAGGGCATCGAGAAAGGCAGCCCACTCGGTCGGCTCTTCGAGGCAGACCACCGGTGTCGGACTCGAGTCCCAGAGGTCCCCTGGAGACGACTCTAAGATCGTAGCGGTGTGCGTTGTCTCGTTGAGGTGCGTGAGGTCGACCAAGTTCACGGTACCCGCGTCCAAGTGCCACTTGAAGCCGAGCGCGTCGAGCTGCGCGGCGGCCCACTCGACGACTCCTGCTTGTGTCAGCTTGCGCAACCACGCCACCGCAGCGCCAAGAGGAAAACCGTGCATTGTCGCCGGCCACATATCGGTGGCTTCGACGACGAGCGACTGCGGCACTCGCAAATGGTTGTGGATCGCCTTGAACGTCGCGAGCGCTTCGAGCTTGGACCGCCAGCGCGCGTCGAGGTCGATGCCGCGGGCGCGGAGTTGAGGCCGGTGATTTGTGTCTTCAAACACTCGTCCAACCTCGAGACGGAGCAGACACGCCCACACTGGCATGGCTTGCAGCACTGGAGGGCACGCGGGCGAGACAGCACCGAGAAGCGTCGACTCGCAGCTGGTCTGCGGACTCTGCAGCCACGCATCCAGTAGACTCAGGTAGACGCTCAGACGCCGCGTGTCGACAGCCTCCTTCGGGATTGGAGCTGCGACCACGTCGCGAACGACCGTGGCACTGGCATCTGGCGTCCGAGTTGGCGGCAACACGGCGTTGGGCGCCTCAGTCGCGTCGTCCTTTGTTGTTAGCGCATCGATGGCCGCGACGGTCTCTGCTGGCAGCAGCCGAAAAGATCGAGCGCGCGTGATCACGTCGACCCAGTGCCCGAGCCGGAGACCGTGCAACTCCGCGAGCCACTCGGTTGACGCCGGCACGCCAAACGATAACGGTACCGTCGTCGATCCATGCAGCTTGTAGTACTGTCGCCAGCCCCGAACGATGCGCGCCCACGTCGCCGGCGAGTTGAAGACGTAGCCCGTGGCGTGAAGCCGCGCGCGCCGCACCGTGTCGAGTACACGGGCCTTGAGCCCAAGGCTCCAAGCAAGGTCGCCGAGCGCGAGGCCTCGCCACGCGTCGGGCCAGTCGTCGCCTGTCGTTGGAGGCACGACAAAGTCGCGCGGGATCGCACCGGTGCCAAACACTTGGCGGTAGATCGTGATGAGACGAAGAAGCATCGCAAAGTCGGGCAGGTCAGTGACGATACCGGCAGCATGCACACGCTCGGCGTCGGCGTCCGTGAGCTCGTAGAGTTGGGCCCGAAGCAACGGGATGACGCAGTTGAGCACGACGTGGTGCGCAGCTGCTGGCCACGCAGCGTCGTCGGGCACGACAAAGCCGTCGGGAACGTCGAGATGCCCGTGGAGGCGCTGAAACGTCACCAGCGCTTCGATCAGCGCATCGAACGCCACCGGTCGAATCTGAGTGTCGGGGTCGTACGGCCATCGGACGCGGCAGCGCGAGCCGGAGCCCCGGAGGCGCCAGAGAAAGCCGATGGTGTCGAGGTCGCGGAGACGGTCGGGCCGCAGCTGCTTGGACCCGTGGCGCAGGCGGCTCACAAACCTGCCGAGCGGCAAGCCGTGCAAATAGCTCGGGTAGCTTGCTGTCGCGGGGATGACCAAGGTCGAGGGCACGGCGACGTGTTGGTGTACTTGTCGAAAAATCACGAGCGCCTTGAGCTTGTCTTCCCACGACCACTGGTGGATACCCCGGGCAACGGTGGCGCCTGTACGCGGCGGATCGATCGCGTCATTGTCGTCCTTAGCGACGACCATGGCAGACGTTGCGATGACCCCGGCGACGTCACTCGTGTCGTCATCCACTACGTCGGCTGCCTTGGCGACGACGACCCGGCGCTTGAAACCGAGTTTGTCCAGCGCCGCGACGCGGTCAGGGTGCAGCGACAACGACTCGCGCAGCAAGACGGCGACAGCGCCGAGCTGGAATCCAAGGCAGCTCGTGGGCCACAAGGATGACGTCATCGGGACGCAAAAGGCTTTCGGGACGTCCACTTGGCCGTGGATGATGTGGAACGTCTCGAGCGCTCGCAGTGCCACGTCATAGAGCGGCGTCGCGTCGTTCAAGGGCGACCCTTGGTTGAGGTCCTCGACGTCTTGCTGCGTCACCGGCGGCAGCACACGCAACACCGCAGCGCGGGCAACGAGACCAAAGAGATGTCCGAGGCGCAGGCCGTGCAGGACGTTGGGCCACGCGGGAGCGTCGGGGACGACGAACGTTGCGGGAACGGTCGTGCTTCCGTGCATGTGTTGGTAGTGGCGGAGGCCGTCGACGACGCGCGACCACGTTGCATGTGCGTTGAACTCGACCTTGAGGTCGTCGAGCTGAAAGCGCTTTTCTCGGGGCAGCCCCTCGCGCTTCCGGCCGAGGTACCAGGCGAGCTCGCCCAGCGCTCGGCCGTGGAGCTCGGACGGCCACGCCTCGTCTGATGGTACTCTAAAGTCGATCGGGATCGCGTTGCTCCCAGCGCGCGCCTTGTAGAGCGCCAGCCCCTTGAGCACGTCTTGCCACGCGAGGAGGTCGGGGCAGAGACCGAGGCCGTGCACGACGCTGACGTCGGTCGCTGGGAGCTCGTAAAAGTGGCACATGACCATCTGCGGCGCGCAATAGAGCAAGAGGCCGGCGGCTGCGCTGGGCCATGCGTCGTCGTCGGTGGGTACGACGAAGTCCTTGGGTATCTCTAGGTTGCCGTGGGCAGCGCGGTAGGCCTGGAGCGCGGCAACGAGCGCCGAGAGCTCAGTGCTCTGCAAGCAGCGCACGCCGTCGACGAAGAAGGGCATCCGATACACGATGCGACTCAAGGACCAGACAAAGCCAAGCGCCTCGAGCAGTGCAAACCTGTCGGGCGCGTAGGACTTGATGGAGATGCGAATGGCGATGGCGATCGAGCCGAGCAGCAGGCCGTGCAGGCGCGCTGGCCACGGCGCCGACGCCGGGACCTTGTACTCGGCTGGGACGCGGCAGTGACCATGGACGGTGCGGAAGATCGCGAGCGCCGCCACCTTGTCTTCCCACGGAGTCCGCCGGCGGGACGCCATCGTCAATTTGGGCGTAGGCCAATCGGATCGCCGGAAATAGATAACATATAGAAAGGCGAAAAAGCAATAGTTAACAGAAAGCTCGAGATCGCGCTCACACTACGGCGCGTAGCACTGGTGGCTGGCTGTACTGTTTGTCTACTCCCTGTGCGATCACGATGTGCAGGTGCCGCACATTGTGATCGCACAGGGAGTAGGCAGTACAGCCAGCGCTACTAATATAGTAGTAGATTGAAAGTAGCGTCCAGTATACGTAGTCAATTTCTACCATGTTGTCGTCCATCGAGCCCGTGGTATTGCTTCGCCGCGGGCGCTGTGTGTCTCGTTATCGCCGCCGTCCGTTCCTCGAGCTGCTCCTACCGGATCGTTGGGGTGCCGTTGACTCGTGCCTCGACCTCGACTCGATGAGCGATGCCGAGGCAAACCTGCATTTCCGCTTCACCGTGGCGTCTCTGATGCGCCTCTCGCGTGCTCTTCAACTCCTGGACGTCGTCTTCACCGGAGGCGGGATCGATGCCTCGCTGTTGCAGCTCTTTGTGTTGCTCTCACCCGCTTGACCTAACCCCAGCGGTACATGTACTGCGATATGAAGACCACATTTGGTCGGTCCAGGGGTACATAATGTACCCTGGGTCGGTCGCGTGAGTTTATGTGCCGCATACTACTAGTACTAGTACAAATACGTGATCGATGCGCTCTACACTCTTCTTCCAGCAGACGCCAAGCGCCTCCTTAAGTACAAGGATGCAATTGTCGCCAAAGATTCGCCTCTGACTAATGCCCAATGTCTTCGGGTTTATCGATGCTGTCTTCGTCGTGATTGCGGCGGCTTGGGCGGTCGTCGTCTGACGAGATCGGCCGGCTGTCGGTCATCGCGGCAAATTGGAAGTGACGTGAGCGCGAAAGCCGACAGGTTAGAAGTAATGAAGGTCAAGGCCTCTGCCACTATTTGATGTACTTTAATCAGTCAAACGAAGAGTCCTCATCGTTTTGGAATCGATTTGGGCGGATTCTACGATTAGTTTTCAGAGAGCTCCCATTTTATTACTTGTGACAGGATAGAATTGCAGATCCTGGAAAATGGAGGGCGTATCTCTCTATTGATGGGGAAATCTTGAACTGAAGGGCGTCGAGGGCACACGTCGTTGTCTCCTGCGCCCATCTGAAGCTACCTCGGCATGGACGACGTTGGTCGGGACGTTGGCGGCAGTTGCATCGCGAGCGGCATCGTGTACGGCGCGGCGCGCGCGAGGGGTGCTGCGTCCGGAATGTCGCTCTCACTCGGCAGCGGGATCGCAAACACGCGCCAGAATTTCACGTCGACCGCGTACACCGTGGTGCCGTAGCGGTACGTCAAGATACCGTTGACGACGGCGGACGCCATGTCGAGGTAGTAGACGTCGTTGTAGAGCCACGCCTCGTGGCTAAAGAGATACTTGGCGCCCGCGCTCAAAAAGAGCGAGTCGACTGTGCACTTGGGCGGTGCGCGCCGGAGTAGCCACCGCGCGCCTGTGTACAGCCCGAGTTTGCAGCCAAAGACGACGCCGAGCAGCGTGAACAAGCGATGCCGTTGCCCGATCGCGATCGACGCCGTCGTGCACTCGAGCTGCAAGTCGATCTGCGCCACGCGGCACGTCGGCGCGACGGTCGCGATGGGCGACACCGGCGCGACGCCCGAGAGGATGCTGGTGACGGCCCAGACGCCCCACGTATTGAGCATCGCATAGTACGGCGTGTACGCCTGCGTGTACACAAGGGCAATGTCGTTGACGACCTCGACGAGCCACGTGACTTCGGACGCCGCCAGCACGATCGTGTACCACGGGGCGGGCGTCGGCGTTAAAGAGGAAACGCCGCTGCGCACCGAGAGCTGCAGCGTGCTCGTCGAGAGAAGCGCGAGGGCCGTGAGACTGCGGACAAAGACGAGCGGGCGGCCAACCCAGACGAGCGCGCCGACGCGGTTGAGCTTCATGATGTTTTTGCCTTCGACGTGGCCGCGGCAGACGCAGATGTAGACGACGACGACGACCGTGAGCACCATCATCGCACACGTGACGTAGACGTTGCAGTTGCGCGCATAGGTGGCGAACGTCGTCGGTACTTGGTACGACTGGACGTCTTGGCGACTCGGGTACATGAACTCGGAGAGGAGCGTGACCGAGCCGTCGTCACCGGCGAACTTCACGACGGTGTGGTCCCCGACGACCCAGTGGTAGAGAAAACCCCAGGCAAAGTAGGTGAAATCCGTCTCGTCCAGGAGACCAGCGGTTGCCAATGCCAACGGCAAGGACGCGTTCCAGCGTCCATACTGCATGACGCGGACGTCCAGCGCCGTCATTGCCGTCACGGCCAGCGACTTGGCGTCGGCGACGGCACCTGTCGGTGGCACATACGTGTCGAGAAACGCCGTCGCCGACGCGATCGCGGCGGTGCACGTGTTGATGTTGGTGAAGTCGAGAGTGCACGTCGCATGTGCGTCAAAGTCTGGCAACATACTGGTCATCGCGACGGCAAAGAGGACGGGATCAATGTTGAGGAGCAGCGGCGTCGCGTACGACGTCGCGTAGCAGCCGTAGTCGAAGGCAAAGAAGGTGTTCATGCCCGAAGCACTCGTGGGACTCGCGGCACTCGGCGGCAGCGCGTCGCAGAGGGGCGACCCGCCAAAGGTCACAAACGAGCTGCGGGCCCACACGGGTGGCGCCGCCATTGCATTGTACTGGATGTTCAAGCTCGTGTACGCAGCAGCAGCGCTGGCATTCGTGCGCAGCGCCGTTCGAACGTCGTTTTCGATGGCTGCGACCGCCGTCATGAGCGCGGCGGGTACTGGTACGTAGTGCATGTCAATGGAGCCGAAAGGTCCGAGTGTCGAGCGCACGGCGGCGAATCCAGGGCCCACCGGTGACGGCACCGAGCCGTTGCGACGAAGCACCGACTCGAACGACGCGTTGGCAAACGCGTAGTCGGCGCTCTCGACGACGAGACTCGAGCCGTAGACACCCGGCGGGTGGTCCGTTGCGTTGGCGACGACCCAGCGCAAGTCGTTGCCGAGTCCCCAGCTCATCTTGAACGAGGTTTGGCTCGGGAACCGGTACGAACCATTCAGCGCCGTGAGCGTAAACGGGTAAGAGAAGCCGTACGCGTTTTCGATCCAATACGAATTGAGGACGCCGACGGTCTTGTAGTTTTGCCACTGGGCCTTGAACTCGGCGACACCGTGCGTTGTCCAGTACGTGGCTTCGTCCAAGAGGGAGAGCGATATGGGCGACAAGGTGGTTTCTAGCCATTGCTGCCCCGACGCCGACGACCGAAGGGCCCGCGCGATACCGACGTCGAAGGATTCGCCATAGGACGCGAGCCACTCGGCGCCGTCAATGTTGCGCAGTACAGTCTCGAGGAAGACAGCGCCGTTGCTGCCCATGGACGCACATCGCGCCGCCCGCTTGGACGTGTGTGCGAGCGACCACGTTCGATTCAAGTCCACATAGCAGTAGGACGTTGCAATCCACGCCACGTCGTTGGCGGACGATCCGCGAAGGCCTTGAATCGTCTGCATCAAGTTCGTGACGTACTGAAGCTCGTAACGCACGCCGACGTTGCCGGGTATCGTTAGCGTGTGGGTCGAGGCACCAAAAGAGCCGGGCAGACTCTGCAAGGTCAGGTCCAGTGGCGACGATAGATTGCCGAGAAGCAGCGCATGATTGAAATACGTTGCAATGTACGCGTGGATCCCGGTGCTGTTGAACGTGGCCCACGCCAAGTCGTTGGCGAGCGTCACCTGGGACACCTCGAGGTACGTCACTGACCCAAATGTCGCGACGCCCAAGTACAGACCGCTCATGGTCTGGACCAGTCGACGCGACCACCGGCGGTGCCACGCTACGGGGACATAGGCATCCGAGAGCGGCGGGATCCGCCCGATGGAGAGCCGGCGCAGACTCATTATGGCTTCGAGAAGCTGGTGCGAGTTGCGCTTGAGTCGCTCACTACCGACGACCGAGTCGTCCGAGACAACCCAGAGACTCAGGTCGAACGTAAAGCGCCATCGCCTGAGGCGCACGGGAATGAGGCCGCACATGGCGCACGTCACGCGGTCGACGGGCGTTGACTTGGAAAACCGCTGCCACGAGATGAAGCAAGTTGCGACGCCCGAGACAACGACGGGGCAGTTGTCCGATTCACTCTTGCAACGCCGGCGGAGGACCGTTGCGGTGGCGACACCGATGCCGACGCTGGCGACGGCAATCACACAAAGCACTTCGACACGGTGCGTGCTGCCAACGTGGATAAGCATGCTTTCGCAATGGAGGTTCATGGCCATATTGATGGCAGCGCACTGCTTGCTCATGGTGGCCTCGAGCAGGATCGGGTTCGCGGCTTCCAAAACGACATAGCTGAGCCAGACAGCCAGTGCGCTCCACGGCGCGTACAACGCCGTGACACTGGGCACAACCAGCACGAGGAGCTCAGTGATCGCGTACGTCACCCACGTCGCCTCGCTGGCAAGCACGGCGATGTCGGCCGGCGACCGCGCGTGGAGCTGCAGCCGCGTCCACGCATCGCCAAGGCGCACGAGCTGGACGTTGGCCGTGCTCAGCAAGAGGAGCGCTGTCGCGCCGCGCAGAAAGACGAGCGACCGACCGACCCACGTGGACCCGACCACGCGACTAAAGGCAAAGAGGTTGGCGCCGAGACCGACACAACCGTCGCGGAGACCGAGCCAGAGGCAGAGACACGCAACGAAACAGAGCACGCTGGTGGTGTAGCCCGTGATGTAGTACACGATTGCAGTTGCGCTCTTGATGTAGTGACTGCCGCCGCTCGTTGCGTACGGCGTGCTAACGTAGGTGCTCGAGATAAGAACCACGTCGCCGACGTCGCCATGGAGCGCCACGACTTCACGACTGCCCAAAAGCCACTCGAGGAGCATCGCCACGCCAAAGAACCCAAAGGGCGTCGAGTCTACAAGCGGCTCGGACAAGAGCGTCCACTGTGACTGCGTCGCGGCGTCGGTGGCGAATTGAATGACGCGAACATCGAGCGGGACGAGATCGTTGAGCACCGGCGTCGCTTTGATGAAGCGCAGCTCGGATCCAGCAATGATTTGATCGGCCATACCGAGGTATTCCAGACACATCGGCGACGACGGCAAAGTGTCGAGCGCGCAAATGGCCTCGGGCGTCGGTGACGGAACGAGCAGGCGGCTCAGCAGCACCGTCATTGGTAGCAGCGACAGGCGGAAGGGTGTTACACCGGTGCATGCGTCGTCATAGTCGAAGAGCGATTGCACGTACGTCGTCGGTGGTTTCGAGAGGCAGAGTGGGCTGCCACCGGCAAACAAGTAGCTGCCAGATGTCCACGCCACCGGTGCGGGTGCCAGAGCCAGCGACGGCAGTGTCACAATCGGCGTCGAGAAGGTGCTCTTGCCGAGAACGCTCTGAAACAAGGTTTCCGAGACCGACTCGTAGAACTGCTGGAAGGACAGAGGGACGGGGACGTAGTAGGCGTCGATACTGTTAAAAGGCCCGATGGCCGTTCGCACGAGCCCTGACTGATTCACAAAGACACCGGCGACGGTCTCCATCCCGAGCAACGCCTCAAAGCTCGTTTTGTGGCCTAGAAAGTTGACTGCGCTCCGCACGAGGCTTGTATTGAAGAGCCGGGCAAAAGGTAGAGATCGTTCGCGGGGTATCCGCAGAGCAGAATGGCGTAACCTCGGCCCAATGTTCGACGGGACGTTCTTGATGTCGACCGAGAACGCATCCCGA